CATTTTAACAGGGCTGGTATGAGTCTTTTAAGATGAGATGTCATGTAAATAAATTGAATCATTACTTCTGCAGCATCCAGTGGCCATAAGAGAAACTGCAGGTAGTATCCTCTACATTCACAAACAAAAGATTTCCTCTTGAACAGACATACAATTATTACAAACAAGCAACTTCTTCTCAAAACAATGTGCAGAGCACACAAACACAATCGTATTAAAGAATCCTGCTCCAGTTGTATTGCTGGAGAACAATGGCAGACGTTGAGAATGCGTCATCATGTAAAAGAAAAAGAACAAAATGTGATATTCAGAGAATCACACAGCTTCTGACATGTTGTGGTGCACAGCACCCACTGGTGGTGTGTTTGTGGAACCTCATAAACAAAGCCCAATAACATAACATCCAGACCCAAACATTACAAAGGCAATAATATTTTATTCAAATGATGATCAAGATACAGTATGAATAGAATAATATATTTAAAGGTCCAGTCTTGTTGCAGAGGACCTCACATGCTATGACAGTACAGTGTTGTGTGCTAGTATGTTGGCATGCATTCAGGGGCAAAAGAGCCCCCAGAGCTCTTAATAAAATTAATTACACTATAGAATTTAAAACCATGTGAACAATAAAAGTGAATCACTTACTGTAGCTTTTCAAAAACTGCATTGAAACAAACTACAAGTTTAAATATTGTAAAATATTTATCACACTGCATTTTTTTGTGGCTTGCACGGTTGGTCATGGACAGAAAATATTTCCACCAGAGGTAAACTGGCCTTATTTTACTCAAATTAAATACGTAATCTTAATCTGCAATAACGTACAGTATGTCAGAATGTATAATTATGAGTAAAAGGCGTATCTGAATGAGGTGGTATTTCAAAGTATATAATAAATTGTGGCTATTCTGCAATTAATTCTCTGAGTAAACGACAGGCTTTAAAATATTGTTTAGCTGTGATTGTTTATCATACAAATAAAATGTGTTTCGTTTTTCAAAAAGTTCAGGTTGGCAATTTAAAGAAAACGTAAATCCAGATTTGCAGCACAAATTAAATATTTGTAAAGTGTAGAGAATCATTCAAACAGTGAGTTTGCACACTGCATGTGACAACCTGCCAGAGCTGCACTATTGCACCATACAGAGAAAGACACATCATATGCATAGTACTAGTCATACAACAGACATACACTTGGTACAGTTCAGAGTGACATGCAAGTAGTAAGGTAAAAAAAACATAAATCCAAAGTCCCTTATGTGCTGAATTCATTCATGTGTGAAAGCGTTTAAATGTTACAAACAATATCGTATCGTTTTTCTACGTTAACATCAAGTGACTTCACCTCTACTTTTACACTAGTGCCAGAAAAACAAACAGGAAACACAAGGAGCAAATGTGGAAATGTGCTAATTTTACTGCTTTGGGATCAAGAATGAAAATCATGAGAATAAATAAAAATATTTTATATTTAGTTAGAAATATTTGCAGACTGGCCAAGTCCTTCAATCAACGATGAGAAGAGTTTCTTTATAACAGTTCAACACTTCTATAGATATGCATAGATTTGTACATAAAACACCTGCAGCTGCACTATGCTCTTCCATCTTAAAACTTAAATGCGGCAGCGGCTCCGGTGATGTAATAAGAACAAATAGTTTAAAGGTTTGTCTGTTTAAGTTACTGCACTTTACAATATTACATAGAATTAAAGTTTTTTGGTGTCCTGAAAAAATGTGTTTAAATAAAAATCAATGATTCTTACGATACAAAACACAACAACTTGAACGTGAGGTTGGAGAGTCATGATTTTCTTTTCACTCCACACATTTTGTGAAACTGCAAACACATGCATGTTGGTCCAATTAATTGCAGAGAAAAGATTTACTGTTCAAACTTAAAGTCTACAGAATAATTTTGCACCAACACATTCTGTTTTTGTCAAGTTTAAAAATATCAAGCAAATACCTACAATTAATCAACTGCTCACTTTAGAAAAGTCTCACTGAAGCAAAAGCTTTGCAAAGAAGGAAATCCCCTTTTTAATCTAAGCTATTGAGTGTAATGAGGAATCTGCTTGTTTATAAAGCATCATATCACCTGTTTTTAAAGCTTTCTACTGATTTTAGTAAATGAGATTAAATAACGAGCCAGTGGTAAGACTGAAATAAGAAAGAATTGCATCAAACAAGTGTCCTGTGCGTGCCAACGTTCAGAAATAGCTTATACCGTGTTGCATTGGGAAAGTAAACACATGCATTCAGTGACGTAAACATTTTATCTCTGCCCTTTTTTTCTCATTTTTTGGGGGAAAACTGTCCAGATGATTCACTCTGAAATATTTTACAAAATTCGGGCACTGCCGCTCTGAAGCACAGCGAGCCAGACAATCATCGTCAAGAAACCTGCTCCAACGAAGAGCAGGTCAAGGTGACGGCGAAGACAACCATCCCTCATCATTAACCATCATCCACTGCCGTTACCTGAAAGTATCATCAAGTGAGGACAAGGAGAAACACAAGTTAAACTACAATTAAAACACAAAACTGTCCAGTTGAAGCCTGAGATGAAGCATGCACACACTATACATGCATGCAGGGTTAGAAGAGGAGGCTGGTTTGGGTGACGAGAGCTGCAGACAAGTGCAATGTTCAGGAGGATCCTCTGTAGGAGTTTTCCCATGTGACTCTCTCACGTCGCCAACTCGAAGCCTCGGAAAATGGAGAACTAACAAATGGTCATCAAAGGGCCACAGATCCATCAGTTTCTCTCTTTGCTCTGCGTCTGCTCCACCTCCACCAGGAAACACATGTAGACGTAGGCCGCCAGTATAAAACCGTGAGTAAAGGGGTGTCACGCAGTGGGGCGTCGTGGAGTGTGGACCCTGTGCATCAGGAGAGAGCCTCATCTTCTCCCACCAAGGGCAGGTCCATACTCCTCATGCCATCACCACTCTCCTGCTTCCTAAATGACACCAGAGACACAGCTTTAATTACAGCAGTTATAGCAACTGAAACCAATCACAGAATGTATATAAACATGGACAACATGTGGAGCCTGAAAATGAAGCTAAAGTGTCTTGATCGCCCTCTGGTGGCTATCTGCAGTATAGGTCATAAACTCTGATACTGAGCAGACTCTGGCTCCAAATGACAAGATGGCAGCATATCTATCTGTCTGTCTGTCTATCTGTCTGTCTGTCTATCTATTCATATCTGGGGTATTTCAGCTTCTTTTCTGGATATGGACAGAGAGTAAAGACACGTCGTCCATCTTTACATACACTTTATGAAACCAGTCATTTCATGGTTACGTAATGCAGGGCAGCAGGCACAAAGGAAACCTGGCAAGCTGTTAACTAGCATTGTTCATACACAAGGGGGACAGTCAGCAAAATAAAGCTGGGAATTTTCTTTTTCAAGGACATACATGAGGACATTAAGTCACACATATGTCTTTTTGGAAAAGTGTGGACTCTTCATGCAAGGAATGAATATCAACTTAAGATGAACAGATGCTCAGGGCTCTTGATGAATTAAGAAACCTTTTTAAATGAAGGTTTTTTACCTTGAACATTTTTCTGGTGCATTAAACAATGTGCTGTGTTTCTCATTTAAGCAATAATATTGAATATCATGGAATTATTGGTGTATTTTGTTGTTCATACAATTTATTCAATGTGAGTAAAATGTAGCTTTGACTATCTTAAATTAAGTAAAGAAATATAAGAATATATGAAATACAGAAATATACAGTAAATATATTGGCAGATACAGGACATAATTTACCCACAATGGGAAATGCTGCTGCTTTTATCATGCCGGGGTGTTGAAGTACAGTCGGTACCACTTAACTACAATAGCATTACAGTTTCCTACAGTTATTTACCTTCTTTGTTTACAGTGTATGTAGCAGTATCTCCCTTTGCCTGCTCTGCCTTTCCTGCAGGGCAGGAGAGGGAGGAGACAAATAATAACTGTTTACCTGACAAACATCAGCTGGCAACAGCTCTTAGTGACTTTATGTTGGCACCACATTTGCTATAAGTACTCTAACTCCTGATAATACTTAATAAGAGTTAACAAATCCTCCAAAGTTTTTGTTTAACGCTGTAAACAATCCTTACATGAGCACTTGCCCTGGAGCACACAAGCTGCCGCGCTCCTCTTTGCGGCCCCAGTCGAAGGGGTTCCCAAAAGAACGCTTCCTCAGCATAGTTCTCACCAGGATCTGATGAAGAACAATACACACATTAAAACTGCATGCTTCACTTACTATCAGAACCTTAAACAATATCATTTATATACTGATGTACATATATAAAAGAATTGTAATTCACTCAGCTGATTCATTCTCAGTTACATCTTTAAAATTTGACACTTAGTAGTTTTTCCCCTTTTAACAGCTGGACCTTGAACTCACCACGGTAGCCAGGCTGGGGATGTGTTTGACTGAATTCTCCACCTCCTCCTCGGTCACCTCGATCAGCATACAGCAGTTGTCATCCTCTGGAGGTAGCGGCTCCGCACCGTGCCTCGTTACCCATGGGTGCACCTGAACACAAGCATCAGATACAGCAGCATTTTAGAATGTGTGTATCGGGTGACAAACATGGTCACTACTGGCTGAACTGAAAGGGAGAGTTTACCTTAATCTGTGTGACTGATATCCTGGTCTCTGGATTCTTGTCCAACATTTTCAGCAACAAATCTTTGAGATCATCTGATATGTCGGCACTGTCGAAACCAGAAGAATCATGAAAATAAACTGTTAACTATATAAATAATTAATTAAAAAGCATGTTTTATATTTTATCCATAGCTTTAACAAGCAGCTAAATAATGACAGAAGGAGCAGAACTGACTGTTCAGGTAACACCACAGGTTGTGTCTTGATTTTCTGATGAAGACTGAGGATGCGCTCATCCATAAAAGGACACTGTGAAGGACAGAGCAGTATATTTCAGTGGGGGATCAGCAGATTGTCATTGAGGAATAACTCTACGATAACAACCAGTATCACAGACTCACCACTCCAAAGACGAAACAATAGAGCGTCACTCCCATGGCCCACACATCCAAAGCCTTCATGGAAAAAAAACATGTTAATGCGATTTGGTATGATGTGAAACATTCAGAAAGGCCTGCATTTCTGAAAGTCATCAACAGAGGGCGTGAATAAGCTCAGTACCTTTCCAGAGAAGTTCTTCCTGGTCTCTGAAAGAGCCTCAGGAGCCAGGAACGCAGGGGTTCCCACTGTGCTGGTCAGAAGAGCGTCGGCTCCCTCAAACTGGTTACTGACTCCAAAGTCTGCTATCTTGATGTGTCCGTCTTCACCCACCAACAGGTTGGAGGGTTTGACGTCTCTGTGGATGATCCTCTGGTAATGTACTGATGAAACACAAAACCTTCCTTAACACAACAAGGTCCCATTTGTACAAATCTGATTATGGCAGGAGATTGATAAACATTCTGTATTGGGAACCAGTCTGGGATGTAAGGAGGTGATTTTTAAAATACCCTCTGAGTATTTGAAATCTTGCATTAACAGGAAGTTGGATAAACATTACAGCAGTTATAGATATAAAGAAAAACATATTTATTGCTCAAGATATATAAATCACTCTTATAATCAGTTTGAAATGTTTTTACAAATCTCAAAAACAGCTAATTATGGGATATTAGCTGATTTAGGGCTTTGCAACCAGATTCTTTTATTCTAAAATGTCGAAAAGCAGGAGACAGCAGAATAAGGTGATGCATATCAGTATCGCTAAAAGAATAAGTGTCTGTCTGATATTTATTCTCCAAGGCTGAACTGAAGTATTTCAGGGACACCATCATTTATTTCAAGCTGCAAATCAAAAGAAATCTGACTCTGAGCTGAATCTATCACACTGCAGCTGACTCAATACTGAATCAGCTCTGAATCTTAGTGTTTTAAAGATTATACTGTTTTTGTGATTCATCTAATTATGGAGACTGCATGTAGTAGAATAACAAGTCATCTAAGAAAGAAAGACAGATACACAACCTTAATCACCCCATTCTTGGCTTTATAAATGGAGTCACAGGCTGATAGGGAAGAATAACAGGAGGTTTGACTCACAATACTCAATTCCCCTGAGCAGATCCTGGAAGTAAAAGCGTGCCTGGTCCTCGCTGAAAGGTTTATCGGTCGGTACCTCCATCACAGCTCTGAATACGTGCACACACACACACACGCACAATTAGCAATCATAACTAATGGGATTGAGCTCATTCCAGTGCCACAATCATCACCATAAAAGAGGCTTAGCTTACCCTTGCTTCACCAGCTCAAACACTGTGACAGAAACACAGATGAGGTTAGGGATGAAAGCTTTTCAGTTACCACGACACACAACACTAAAAACAACATGTTTTCAAATGACCTTCTATTGTATTTGCTTTATGCACGACTGTGTGTGTATTTGTGTGTGTGTGTGTTTGTGTAATGTTCCAAAGGCTGGTGGACGGGCCGAAACATACCCATGTACAGATGGTCCTCGCTAGGGTCGTCCAAAACCTGGCATCAAAGCAAAGAGGAAAAATTAGTGTGAACTCAAGCGCGCACGCATGCACACGCACACACACGCGCACACACACACACACACACACACACACACACACACACACAGACACACAGATTGTTTTGTGTGATGTTAAAATTAAATCACAATTACAAAGTATATAAAGTATGTTACACAAAGTTAATGGTTTAATGCAGTTTTGTTACATTTGAGTGATTTCAAAAGGCTGCAGGATTTTTTGTGAAATATTTAGTTTTTTAGATTATTATCTTTCTTTCTTTCCATGACACTCCACTGAGGCCACAAATTGTTCCAGTAGAAAAATGGCAGTAATCCTTTGTTGCTCCTTGGAGAGAACAGAAGCAATAAAAAGCCTGTTTGCATTTTGCTAGTTTGAGCAAACCTGTTTTGTTTTGTTGCTCAAATATAATTTCCTGAATTTGTCCTTTTCTGAATCTACTTTAACACCTGCACGTCTTCTCTCTCTCTGTGCAAAACCTAAATGAAAACTGCTTAAATAAACATTTTCACAGACCTCACCTCCACTAGTTTTACTACATTGGAATGGTCTAGCTTTTTCAGGATGGCAATCTCTTGATAGACCCGCTCCAGGGGTCCTTTAAGATGAGGGGGGCCCTCAGGGGCTTCTTTGGGTCCACGAGGGGGAGGTCTTCCTGTTAGAGGAGAGAAGCAAAGTAGGTGAGGAAGGCTGGACGTTTTTGATAGGACAGTGTTCATGTACCACTGTAGCATTGTGACTGCGCTCTCTGTTGTGTTAACCATCTGCCGCTGGCTCTAGACTTACGTGGGAAACCTGCCTGCCTCATCAGCCTCTTCTTGGACAACACCTTCATCGCCTTCAAGAGCGAGAGGGGGAGAGATAGATATAGATAAAGGAGAGGATATGAGAGAGGAGGTGGGAGAGCCATTGGGGAAGAGATCCAGAGAAAAGACAAACAGAGAGAAATACAAAAAGAGTAAGATACAGCAGAGCGAGGTGATGCATATCTGATGGATATCTGTGCACCCACTCACACCCACAGATAAATATCCCCGGGCCTAAAGTTTTATCTTTTCACCTTGAACATTGTTTGTGTTTATGTGGCTATGTACACTGACCAGGGTCATCTGAGAAAAAGATTCTAAAAGCTCTAAACTCATTGACTCGTTCCTGGCCTTAAATCAATCGCTCACATTGCATAACCTATTGAGACAATATGAAATCTGAGAGTTTGACAATTTACATAAAAATGTCTGCATCTGGAAATCTTGCTCACGTCACTTGTTTGATTTTGAAATTAAGATTTAAAACATCAGTGAAATTTGGGGATATTTTCTGAATGAACATATAAACGATGTGCATGAGAGACAGATTTCAAAGGGCTACAGAAACGAGTATTTGTTCCACACAGCTTGTTGTAAAAAACCTGTTATCTCAGTGGTTATTGTTACTAACTAATAAAAAAAACTATCATTTTGAGATAAACTATATAAATCTGGCTCTTTTGTAGATGCAGGATCACAAACTGAAGCACTTTGTACTCGTCTAGCTCAGATGTGCAGATTTGGTACGAATCAAATGTCTTTCTGACCATTTTTTGAACAGCAATAATATAATCGCTGATTGCGACATGTGGGCTTTGTCACTTGGGAGGAATATTAATATAATCCCTATGTCATTATCCGTCAATATCACGCAGCTTAATGAGAACTGCAGCAACAATCACGAGCAGCAAACAGAAAAGCTTGAGTTGATTTATTTTTACAGCTCAGCAGAGAGAGGCACAATTAACTAGAGACATTTTCATATGTGGAGGTTTCACATAAAGTCACAACAGTGAACGTGAGGCGGGGGACAGAGACTATGCCTCTCTCTTTGTCTGTGTGTGACTACTGATAATGAAGTGAGAGAAAGACAGACAGTGTTAATAGTTGGAAAGAAATCACATCTGTATCTACGTGTGCATGAAGAACTCACATAATATGTGTTGTTGTCCTCATTGTACGCCAGCTTGACAACACCATAGGAGCCCTGGTCCGGGAGAGAGTAAGTAACAGAGAATAGAAGTCAAGGAAGATATATTGAGCAGCTGTCAATTCTTTATGTTAAAATAAAATAAATCACACTTTGTGCAAAGCAAATGTTCTAAATACACACAGGAATAAATACACAAACACAGAGAGAGACGGGAAGTGAGTGGGCTGACAGTGTAGACTGAAAGAGCACCAGCTGCTTCAAAGTGACAACAGAAAAATTCAAATCATCTCTCTCTCTCTCTCTTTCATTTTTGATTTCAGGCTAATTAAGGAAACTGGATCTGGTTTGTGTTATCAAGCTTCCCTGCCCACACACACACACACACACACATGAAATCCAGGATAAAAACTAGGTCTAATTAGTAGCCTGAATGCAGAAATTCATGCACAAAACAAACAGAGAGAGGGGGGGGGGGTTTGTTGGCAGGATCATTTCCTGCTGGGGGAGCAGATTGTAGAAGCAGCACAGAGCTCATCCTACAGACCCAAAAATGATCTGATAACAGAAACCTCTCCAACAAGCCTGAAAGGCTCTAACTGTCTCAGCTGAACAAGAAAACAAACACATTAACGTGCCTACCTACCTACAGGCACAGACACACACACATCAACATTATGTCTTATTTAAACCACAATCTAAATCTACAACTACACACTCCCACTTGCTCACACACACTCGTATCCGCTAAGCATTGCACAACCCTTAGAGAGCTCTATTTATACCAGCCTCTCATCCATCTTCCAACTCTCCCATGGCCTGGTAGTTTGCAAAGAGTTTGGGAAATGAGGACAACCGTGAGAGAGGATATCAGGAACTGTTACTGCGTGTGCTTAATGATGTGCGGTACTTGACAGACATGCAGTGGGCGGCGGGGAGAGGGAAATGAAAGAGTCTGTGATGGTACCTTTCCAATCTCGTCCTTCAGCTTGTACTGGTTAAGTTGAACACAGTCCTTGAAGAGAGAGAAGAAAGAGAAAAGAGAGGAGGAGAAAATGGTTTCCTTTTAGAATTGGAATCATATTTTAGCATCGACATGTAAATAATTATTATCCCACTACTGGTTCATTTAACTTCCCTTCAACTAACAGCTATCTGCACATCACGGTCCCCAGGATTTCTCCATGTCTTCTGACTCAAGACAAATTTGTTGTTCTGTTCCCTTTTAATTTGTCATCTTTTAAGATTCATTTGAAGCAAAAGCTCCTTTTTCCATTTTTCAACCTGGGCCCACTAAACAGAATTCCCCTTTAAATTTGATTAAATCCAGATTTAATCAGAGAGCATCTTATCAACAGTGACATTAAACACTAATATATATATATATATATATATATATATATAATATAATATAATCCTGCAGTGTGTTCCAGAGGTAGGATGTAATAGCTTTGTGATCTATTTGGTAGTGATCAGAGGGAACCATGTGGTCAAGCTCAAGTTTATTCTACCATAAAAAAAAAAACAGAACCCAGCCTGCAGAGAGTGATTCATAGAAATGCGGTGACTAAACCAATTCCTCATTAAAAGCACACATCTGAATGTCGTTTATTTGACTGTGTGTCGATGAGGAAGTGAGAATAGAGAATTTAAATTATTAACAGACGACACATTTATTACAGTAATTTCCGAGCGAGAGGATATTTGAAATATTTCACCTGCTTAACCTTCATGTGCATTTTTCACTCCTACATCAAGTGATTAGGTGAATTCCAGCTACAGTAGCGGATGTCTATAGGATTCTGCACCTACAGTAAATACAACAGGGATCACAGCTACAGTCATAGCTACATCTAGTGAGACTGTAAAACCTTACCTTTGTATCAGTTCAGTCTTTAACACTGTGCTGCTGCCTTCAAGACAAATGCACATGCAGCTCTGTTTACTTTCAGACAAGTGCCATACTGATATCTTGATAACAGATGTTCAGGGGGAGCACCTCTGCAAGAGCCTGGCTCTGTGTGAACTTGAGTTAGTGTGTTCATTCATGTGTAATGCATTAAGCAGGGTAAAGACCTAAGGGGATGCACAGGTCAGAGGTCAGATACTGGCTGAGCAGGGTTGACTTTGTTCCTTGCAAACATTGAAATCAACTATAAAACATTTCAAATGCCTACCACAGGAACCTTGTTGGTCTCAAGTCTTGATCATACCTGGAGGTCTGTGATGGAAACACTGTGGGACTCCACAGTCGGTCGGCGGGGAAACCGCGGGGAAGAGTGGGGTGATGTGATGGGTGAGTACGGTAATGATGGGTAAATGTAGCGCCCGTTGAGTCCCGGTGAGCTGCAGGGTGATGCCGCGCTTTGCGAGCGCTCCTGCAGAGATAGTTTCCTGTCTGACATGTTCAGTCTTCCCCTTTGCTCTTGGCTCTCGGGGAGCAGAGACGCCGACCGGCAAACTGTGTGGGACAGCAGGTCGCAGGATGAAGTTGGGAAGGGTGCTGCCACCGAGGATGCTGGCTCGGGCGTCTCAGAACTGTCCATATCTTCTACCTGAGACGTAAAACATTGAATTTGTTGCACATTCATGCACTTTATTTTCCAGATGGTATTTTTCATTATGTAATTAACATACTACAGTATCAAAATATACAAAGCCTCTATAATTGGTCTACATGGTCTAAAAATCATAACTGCAGAGTGTCGAAACAATATGACCACAAACCCAGAAGTCCACTTAGACTCAATCTCTGGGAGACAAGGTGTAACGAGGCATTTTTTCTTCTTACCTCCTCGTCCTCCCCAGTCGCACCGGACGGCCTGCTGGGTTCATACTCCGTGACCACGATGAGGGACTCCATGGGGTCCGGCGACGGCGTCTGAGAGTGGGTGTTCAAAGGTGGAGCGGGACAGCTGCACAGCAGGTCAGGGAGGGGTTGTGAGGGCTGCGCTTGGGGAGCATGACTGCCGCAGGAGGCCGGTGACTCAGCAGAGGGCCAGGGGGTTACTTGACAAGGAAACATGGTGAGCAGACAAGCTCTGCTCCATCAGATGGGAACCCCCGGGAGAGTGGTTCCTACAACACATGAGCAGACATCGAAGAATGAGAAAATACTTGCTGGTAACTCAGGCGTTTACTGCTTTATTAACAGGAGACACACACGCCTGGGAAAGAGCAAAAAAAGTAGCTTCCTGATTTATTTGTTTACTTTAAATCAACCTTTAAAAACACTGGTTTAATTAGTATGTCTTTAAATGTGCAGTCTATAATTATTCTCATCCTTACTCTTTCATTTGTATATTTATGTTAAATCTGTGCAATCCTAATGGATGCAACTCTTAAGTGCAATTAAAGTAAATACATGCATCTTTAATAAAAGGCTAAATATCATATTCTCTAATGGTTCCACATGAAGCATCGGTGGAGTCTGGGCCTTTTCCTCACACTCTGTTAAGTGCTAATTAATGCATGCAAACACATTGAGTGACCTAAAGTTCAGCTCTAAGTGGACAGATTTGACGCATCTGTAAAAGCAGCGGTTCAGTCTGCGTTTGGTGTCAGTTATGCAACATTGTGATTTATTATCTGTACAGCGTTTAAACAAAACCTTTTTTTTTGTATAATTCCAAGAGCACCGTTTCCATCTCCAAGATCACTCAGCTTATTATCTGCACATTATTTGTGAGAGGAATGGAGAGAGGAGAGGAGAGGAGAGGAGAGGAGAGGAGAGGAGAGGAGAGGAAAAAATGGCGAGAAAAACAGAAAGAGACTGAGGCGTCTCCTGGATCTTTGTCACGGTCTTGACAGGATTGTGGCTGTGGCGGAGGCAGTGTGTGGGAGCGGAGTGAATCTCACAAATGCCGGAAAAAAAAGAATGGAAGCATTAAGAAAGACAAGACAGTGGGAGCTCCGGCAAAGTTCATGACAAGGACAGCGTGTGGGAAGAGACACCCACTCCAGGTGAGCTCTGTACCATCGACTGCTTACAATATATATGGTGACGTAAGAGAACCAGAAAGGAAGAATCACCACAACACACAATGAGACTCATTTCAAGCACAACTGTGTTACGGGCACAAAGCTTCTGCTTTGTCTTCTCCACTGACTCGTCCATTTCACATTTACTGTAAATCCGCAAAGTACTGCACAGCACATCACAGCACATCACAGCCTATGCTTATCACTGACAGAGACGAAGTATTCTCTTCCTCAAGGTCCGAACATATCTGACATTTCTGAGTTTAATCTTAAAAACACACTCTTGTGATCTTTACTGGCCAAACAAAATGATCCTAGTGTCACATATCTTTTCATAATATGATCTAGAAATCTAGTTAGCTGCTGCTGAAGCAACACAACATGCCCAGATAAGTGTACTTGGCCTCAGTGGAGAACAGAAAGTACACATATGCAAGACAGTGGTAAAAACTGGCACCAGTGACAACAGGCTTTTTATACCCACTTATCAAGCTTGTCCTACTTCAATCTCAGATAAATGGTGCGGCCTGTTTCCTGACACACTGAGATGATTCAGCGCAGCTTCTACACTGGTAATGGTGTAAAGTTAATACATTATATTACTATCAGGGCAAATTTCATTCTATGACAAACAGGATTTGGACAATGGTCCGTTTTGTCTTCACCAGGTCATGTTTAAAAAAAACTATTAGGTATTTCATCAGCTCCTACCACAGGAGGAGGACGTGCTGATCATATGCTTAAACTCCAGCTTACTGCAAAATATTTGAAATATTAAATTCATAGACACTGGCGCTAACGTTATAAAAGCCTTTGTGCTCTGAACAGTGTATTGTGCGATGTCGCTAAAGTTCCTGGACAAAGGCCCTGTGTATCAGGGATAACCACACTGCTAAAGCCCCAAACTTCCCTGATCCCTTGTGATCGCAGCAGCTCAATGAAGAACAAGCATTTAGATTTGAGCCTGACGATACATCAACAGATGCTGCGCGGCTCCAGATGCCACACTGCGCCTCTTATGATAACAAAAGTCACATGACCTGACCTTCACTATCTGGGCAGGAGGAGGAGGAGGAAGGACTTATCAGAGCTTGCGGGGGTCCGAGCCATGTAGAGCATTAATAACAGAACAGACACGGTGCCACAGACGTACAAGTACGACACAAGGCCATCTGGAGCAGAGGAGGATCCCCGGCTTCATTAAAAGATCAACAGGGCAACCCTGTCAGCGATCTGCGGAGCCGCGCAAGAGATAAGCTGCTGTAAATGGAGGGATGAGCTTCCTTGACTAACTAGACTGCTGTGTTATCACACAATCACAGATGAATTTGACTGAGAATCTGACATATTTGATTGGTCGTCATAGAGCACAGCAAAGTTTAGCATTGTTGTCAAGACATACTCTTTGGAGTTATTCTTATTATGAACTCTGACACAACAGAATTTTCATCACAAGCAATGGAACAAAGGTTCAATACATTTCACTGTGTTGCTGACTCAGGAGATACAGCACGTTATTGATCATCTTCCATTGTCTGCTTTTATAGAAGAGTTTAAAACTACAACCTTCACCCAGGAGCAACAACAGATCTATAAAATGTAAAGTAATATGTGACATTCATCGTGATAGTTATCGATGTAATTTTTTGGCCCTATCCTCCAGACCTTTCTGCAATTTATTTTCTTGATTTAATCTGAAAATAGTCAAAAGTATAATCCCGATATGCCACAACTCAAGGTCATGCCTCCAGATTTCATTCCAAGTCTAAAAATATAAAAACTATTTGTAGCAACAATTTATTTGACAATTATCATTGAGTGGTTTTGTTTTTGTAAACCAACTCAAAAACTGAACCAAAGGAGATATCATTTATATTTTTTCTTTTCAGTCCTTTTATAAATTGGTGTGTTACATAATTGAGATCTGTGGACAAACCTCTCCACAAAGACCATTTGGAAAAATGTAAAAATCCACAAAAAACAGAAGAGGGTTGATATCAAACATGAGATCAATTAAACCTCATCCCGTCTTTCTAATACTGGATCAGTCTTTGAGCTGCTGATACAGGATCATTTGGGAATTCTATGATGGTGTGAATACATTTTTATAAAAGGGGGAAACTGTGTTTACTGTAAAACAAATGACAGTGGATGTGGAGGCTGGTTAATGACCCAGGGTTGAAAATGAAATAGTTTCTATCGCTGCATCAACAAACACATAGACCCTCCGTGTTCTCCTGTTGGGTCCCTCTCTCATGTGAAGGTTGGCAGGTTTTCATTTCTCACGTTGAAGCGAACAAACGTCAGTGATTATCCAGAAACTGACGAGGAGGAGAAACGCACCGCGGTGTGACATGCAGGCTAACTTCCAGCTTAGCTAACGTTAGCCGCTGCCTCAGCTGTCAAGAGGCAGATGTTGTCGGGCAGGAGTCAGTGATGCTACCGGGCTGAGAGACGACACAAAGAGACGACAAGCCTCCCAACACCTGCAGCGAGAGATGCGGTCTTACCTTGGCGTGTTTATCAAGAATTCAAGTTCCCAGTGAAGAGGCTCCTTCTTCCCTTTCCGCCGCGGGGCGAGCAGCGGCTGTGGCACCGCGGCTAAGCTAGCAGCTGTGCGGGGGAGCGGAGCGGGGACCGAGGGAGTGATGCAGGAACCCGGCGGAGCACACGGGTCCCGTCCCTCACATGGAGCGAGTGAATAAAAAAAGAAAAAAAGAAACCTAGATCCAAACAGGAAGTGTCAGGTGCTGCTGCTGCTTCTTCTTCTGTTCGTTCAAATCACGACCTCAAAATAAAAACGGTTCTTCTTTATGATTTCTGCCACGGGCACTTTGTGGGAGACTGGCGCCCCCTGGTGCCGGATCGGGGAGTTGCAACAGCTTCTATTTCCAGGTGTTAATATTTATTATTACTATTTATCATTATGTACTTATACCATTTTTGTGATATGCTTGGTATTTATCATGTCCATCATAACTAGCTCTTACTTCGTTCAAGTCAGGATATATTTTGTATCTTGATTGTTTTGCATCCTATTATATCTTGCAGTTCATTTGATATGGCAGTAGTTATGTAAAAATACTGCTTTTACCAATTAAAAACTTCAGCCTTGTTATTTATATATATATATGAAAATAAAAGAAGACCAAATAGGACCTCTTCACATGGGGCTGTGACTCTACCCTCTCCCAATCAGGAAACAGATCACTACCTTTCTTTTCATCCATACTTGTGCTGCCTTTCTTCACCATGATTGTAAAGCACTTTTGTTCAACACCTGTTGTTTTCAATGTTTTATATAAATAAATCAAATTCAAAAACACTGAAACATCAAATTGACATGTTTATTTTCATTAAAAAAAAAATTAAATCAAAGCAGTAAACTGCAAACAGCACAGGACTGCAACAATATCCAAGATATCCAATCCAAAGAAGACAAAAAAATCAAAAAGACTATACAATGTAAAAATCTTAAACACAGATGTCACAATTATCGCCTCTTCTGGAAGATGTTTCCTCTTCCCATTCCACCACGGCCTCTGCCCCGAGCTGCCACTGCAGACAAACCCAAAGACAACACATTTAAATACAAAACAAAAACCATTCTAACAGACGGAGTGCAAGTAGTCTGAAGTGGAAAATGTATTCAATTCTTCGTTTTGATGTTGAAACAAGTCTGACTTTTATAGGATTGTTACCCAGACACCCAGGGAGCCATGCACCGCTCCACTAAGATCGCTCACAGTGTTTATTTGGAATTAGTTGTAATTATGCTGCACAATAATTGATAGAATGTGTGAACTGCAGGAGTCAAGAATAACCACCAAGGAATCTGATAAATCTTCCCACTCACCTTGTGCTTTGAGAATAGCTGCCTTTCCTCTTCCTGCACCAGATCCTTGGTTCTTGTTCTTCATACTCTTTAACATGGGCGCATTCTTTAACATGTCTGGTAAGATCAGGAAGCGGATTTTGCTGCCACGAATGTAGACTTGTTCCAACTGTGCCACCCGGCCATCACGGTAAGTCACTGTGATATTAGACATCTGTAGCAATGGAAGGAAGATGTTAAGTTCAGCTGCACGCAGGTAACATATCATAGTTTACTATTTTGCTGTGTTAGAGTACATTTTTAGACTCAAACGCAGCAATACACAAGAAGCTCCATGAATTAAAGCTAGATAACGATCCAAACCATACTGTTGAATAGTGGTCTTTCAATAACACAGTTCATTTATTTCTAACCATCTGAAGTGGTTCAACAACTTGGATTCTAGATTATAAAGAGTACTGCAAAAACTGCTGTCCATTGTCACTTCTTGTAAAACGCATACTCAATAAATCTATTTACAAACAGAATCATTTAGACAAGAGTAAAACACTGAGGTAATATCTCAACGAAATATGTAACAAAGATTGAAACATTCAGATATAAGAAACAGAGGTAATTTACAATTCCCACTGGGAGGGTACAGCAAATATTTCCACTTTAAAGATTATTACATTTATGAGAATGATTTTCTGTAAAACCAGGAGACTAAATTAAATTTGCTGCTGCAAAGCCCAATTTTCACTTGGAATCAATAAAGTGTCTGATTCTGACATAAGTAATCTAGTAATCACTCTCTGAAGCAGCTTACTTCCCAACAGACACAGATAAGTAGGATATATAAGTAGCAGTGTCTGTACTGGGGTGGCGTCCGTGTTAATAGTGTTTAAGACCAACCTGGCAGTTCATGTTGTCCTCCGCCTCGATCAGCTTGCCCCTGTACACCTCTCCGGTGTTGGTCTCACAGGTCACGATGTGTCCCTCTGCTTCATGCAGAACTTTGATTGGTACGCCGATGGACATTTTTCAACTGTCTTCATGAAACACAAGTATTGAAAGAGCATGTTAACATACATTCTACCCATTATAATTAATTCTAAGCTAACTCCCACCAGCCAATCCTGTCTACTGTACAACTACTCAAAGTCCATTCGTAATGATGGAGGCTCCAAAGATGTTGGGCTACAACATCATCTTGTTTTTGTAGCTGGTTTTAATTTTACAGCAAAACTTTTTTTTTTGTTTAAACGACAAGAAACCAGGAATCAGCTCAGATAGACTATACTGTTGTGTGACTCCATTGGTAGCATTAGCATCTCTGTGCTGCTGTAGCTCTGGTGCTGACACTACAAACACTCCTGTGAGGACGGGACCACAGTTGCAGCCATCACAACGGGTTGGTTCATACTAATGTTTAACGCAGTGTAGAAACAGTGAACTTCAAGTTTGATAAGAATATGACGAGTGTAATCTCAAGAGGCAGGGGAAGCTACCTACTAGCTAAAGTAGCCACGTTAGCCGGCTAGGCTAATGTATAAAAACGCAGGAGTACCGAACCAGAGCAAAGGTCTCCACACATTATCTGAAGCTAGTTGTTGCTACAACCTACAAACCAACATCCAGCAGGATCTAAGGTTAATTGCAAACATTTGAATTTCTAACTTTAACACTTGGAGCTCAGATAATAGACGGAGCCATGTTGGCTGCGTGAATGAATCAAGTGCAACGCGCCACAAGGCCAAACACGAGCGTTGGCTAAGCTAAGCGCTAACACAGATTTATATAAACGAATAAAACTCTCACCTGGACTCTGGTGGAAACAGGTTTTGTTCGAGGTTTAATTCTTCACTCTACAACGTGCTCTCGTCGATTTCGCGTCTCTTTTTGAGCCTTTTTCCGCTTACCCACAATGCAACAGAAGTCGGGTGAAGTACTTCCGGTGGAATCCCGTGGTGCATCATGGGACTTATATTTTTGAGCTCGGATGACCGGAGTAGTGACGCGTGTCTTATTTTCTGAATTGATTTCTGTGACATGTGGCCTCACAACTATAGTTTGATGCAAAGGAGAACAACTTTTTATTTGATGTATAAATTAAATGTACTAGAAAGAGGCCTATTGGGTTTCAGTGGTGGGATTAAACAAAGTACATTTACTGTTATTGTGCCTAAGTACATTTTTCATGAATCTGTTCTTTACTTAAAGGTCCAGTGTGTAAGATTTAGAAAGGGAACTATTGGCAGAAATTTAATGTAGAATAATCCTCATGATGTTTTCACTAGTTCGTTTCATCTAAATTGTATGAATTGTAGTTTTCTTTACCCCAGAAAAGGCCCTTTATATTTAAATACTTTAGATTTACATCGAGGGGACCCTCTCTACGGGCCGCAATGTTTTTTACATTAGTCCAGACTGGACAAACTAAACACCTTTTGAGTTTTTATGACAACTGAAGCTGCCATGGGTTCTTTTTCATTCATTGGGAGAAGAGGGTGAGGTGAGGGGTGTTCGGCTGCAACATGCAATTTCAACACTAGATGTCACTAAATTCTACACACTGTCCCTTTAAGTAGATTCATTTTCAGGTGCAGGATAATATTCCATTTCCTTTTTTACAAAGCATGTCGTTCTTTATTAATGACAGAATGTGTACTGTTCTTGTATCAAACTAAATATATAGTAGGCATAGTTAATGAAGTAGGTTTCACTCTGCAAGTACTCTTAAGAACTTTATGTTTAACTTGCTTTTACTCAAGTAGAAAACTTAATGTAATACTTTAACTTTTTAAGTAAAATGTTTGAATACTTCCTCCCCCACTGTTTGGTTGTATTTTTACTGGATATCATCCTCCTCTGAATCCTGCCAGAGTCTGTACTCACATGACAGATAGTGGAGTCTGTGAGGCAGGACTACATCTCTGATAGCACTTTATGTATTTTTTCACTTTTATTGTGTACAAAACAAATTACTCAGATTTGAATTTAGTTTTATGAACCTTTATCTCAGGTTTCTCAAAATAGTACAAAAAAACAAAGCATAAACATCAAAATGAAATGGCTTTATTGATTTGCATACGGCTGTAAAACGCCACAAAGTGTAATAAACAACTGATATGTATATACTCATTCAATAAATACACAGTACGTGAGCTAGAAACATACCCATATATGCTTTTTCCTGGATTTCTGGAAAGCACACAAGTGTTGCTTAATGCAGGTCCTGCAGTGAAAGGGCCTCTAAATGAGGAGAGCGAAGGCATAATGGCATAATAAAAGACATCATCAAATGAACCTTCATTTGATTTCCATTGCATTAGGCCCATTGACTGGCGTCAGCAGCCAGGCCGCTCTGTAAACACCTCCTGTAGAGTCGTCTGTGGCGTGCGTATGTGTGTGTACTACAAGCATATGGGCTGATATTTGAATAGATCAAGAAAGCTTTGTTTTGGATGTGTGGTAACTGGCTCAGTGCCTCTGAATCATATGTCACTTAGTTGTTGTTGAGGCAGCAACAGACACGTGTTGCCCGGCAGTTATCAAACCAGCATCATCAGGTGTTCTTTGGCCATCCAGCAGTTTGAGAAATGACTTTTCAACAGATCTATACACAAGAGATAGTGCACACCTTGAAATAGCTGTCAAACATCATTGTTTTCCCCAAGCTCGCTCGTATCACTCAGTCCAATAGTCACAATTATCTTGAATAAACCTCATTAAAAAGTGAACAACTGAGTATTACAGACATAACTAACTCTCCAGTGGTTATAAATAACACAGATGACCATGTAAAAAATAATGCAATATTATCGTGGATTTCAGGGTTTAAAAACATATACAGTGGATACCAGGCAGTTGAATGTACTTTTATGCACTCCAAGATGCAAATTGTTTAAAAGACACCTACAAAAAGGGATTTTCTTGTGGGAAAATGTAAGCATGAGCACATTTCTGTATTTTCTTGTAGATTTAATCCAAATCAGAGATCCGGGTTTTGAACAAAATAACAAAGCAAAACAAGATGACAACCGAAAGAGGAAAAACAGCTTTGCTGCTGCTGTTGATCTGTTGCTGTTTCGCTCATCCTTCGTATTCTCATATTTGCAGAATTTTATATATTTTATGGCGTTAGAAACACAGTTTATATATCCTAAATCTCTTTGTCATGAGACTTCTGTAAGCTCTGCACAGCAGGCGCAGTCCATCTGTTTTAAAGAGCCAGCGTGAACATTCACAAAAGTGATGCCACTCCCACTGTCTGTTGTTACTCCAAAATATGTGATTGACTCTTTTCTATCCTGCGCAGCAAGTCCCATGATGCACGGCAGCGGCTGTGTTAGTGAACTGCTTTGTATTTGGTGACCGTTGAGTGTGTGGCCACCTGGTGCAGAGTCTAACTTTGTGGTCCAGTGGCAAGATGCCTCCTGGTTGGCTTTTGTCTGTTTGGAACCAGAGTCTAGGATGTAATTGTTTACTACAGTGCCACATGATGTCTCTTTACTGGTGCGGGAAAAGGATGAAGGTCCAATGATGCTGCTCCTGCTGCTACTAACACCTCTGTCGTCACTATGCCCAACCCCAAGCCCATGCACATCCCCCTGTCCCAGGATGTGCTGGGACAGGATCCTCCGGAACGTCTGCCTAAACTCCCGAATGCGGTAGGCATAGATGAAGGGATTCACAACAGAGTTAGCATGGGAGAGGATGATGGCGATGTTCATCACCCAGATGTGTGGGCGACTGCAGTCCTGACACATGTGGTTGAAACAGTTGATGATGTGCAGTGGAAGCCAGCAAAAGGCAAACATCCCCACAATAATGGCCAGTGACTTGGCAGCCCGCACTTCCTTCTGCAGGGTGGAGCGAGGTGAGCTCAAAGGCGAGGATATCACCGCAAGAGCGGGCGTGTGCACAGCTTTGAGACCGATCACTCTGAGCTGGTGCCGCGCAGCCATGAAGATGTGGGCATAGATGACCAGCATGACCAGCAGAGGTACCAGCACACAGCCAAAGAAGTTGAAATAGACCATGTAGTCCAGGGTGACCACTCCTTCAAACAGGCACTCGCACAGGCCTTTAGGGCAGCTGCTGCTGCTCCTGTTCGCGGTGGCGGCTGTGGTGTTCAAACATGTGAAACAGAGGCAGGGGGATTTTGTGTTAAATTATGGCAACATTGAACGAGTACAGTTTGGGCTTTAGACCCCAAATTCTTGAGTTCACCTCAGTAATCATCTCAGCTGGGAGTTAGAAAAACTGACACTAGTGGGAAAATGTCATACTGTAGGTCTGTTCATGTTTTTGGTAGAAAGGGGTTGTAGCTTAAAACAGGATGTGGTTAGAAATAAAGATTTTCAGATGTCATTGTTCAAACAACGAAACTCAGACATTAAACTATCTTCTCAGAAACCAGTGTATCAGTGCTTGACTTCATACCTTTCTACAGTGTAGTGTAAGAAGATTGAGAGTATGCATTTCCATTTGTCTATAGATGAATCACCCACCTGAGTTCCAGCCCAGCATCGGAGTCAGGCCGATGCCCACGGAGAGGACCCAGCACAGGGTGATGATGCCCTTCGCCCTCTGCCCTGTCACCAGGCTGTTGTACCTGAGAGGACAACACACTAATACATGAGGACCAGCTGCCTTATCTAACGCCATAATGATCATATCTGCAACAAAGTCAATATGTGGTGATTCAAATGAGGACAAAATGGTTGTGTATTCAAGCGTGAGTGAATTATTCATTTAATAAACCAAAGAAAGATATTAGTTGTCCTGCTTTTCTTTCTTTATTAATGGGCGTTAGAAACAGAAGACAGCGTATGAGAGTGCTGCCATTACTGGAAAAGTACATTGGCGGATCTGCAAGTTTACTTTCAATTTGTAACTTGATGCTATAAAAACGGGGCTGGAACATCATGATGGAAAGCTCCAACTTTCTCACCATTGATCGAATGCGTGTATCAACGGTCCCAGATTGCTACTGTGCAGACTTTGGCTCCAAATGGGCAAGATGGCGGCCAGATGTTTTAGCTTGGAGACGTCATCCATCTTTATTTGCAATCTATGTTTTGATGGCTTTGTAATTCAACTCTGACTCTTTTTTTAGGCTTTCCAGTCAATAATAATAAAGTTCTCTCAACTACTGATGAATGATTTATTTTCTGTCGTCTTTGGTGCAGGGGGAGCACACAAACACATACAGGAGCTGTTATGCAACTGCTTATGCAAATGTGTCACCTGCTGCGGTTTACCCATGAAATATACTTTCATGACAGGAGTAGCGCAGCGGTGACCAAACAGTCGTGGGTTTGATTAAATGGAACAGGAACTTTTTTATGAGCCGCAAAAACAATTGGGCTCTCATACAATGTTATTTGAATAGTGTAGATTTACATGGATGGAGCTTCAGCAGAAACGATTACTTTCAACAGCATGAAAACAGGAACCCCGTGACACCAGCAGGGATATACATCCCTTTAAAAACTCAGCAGGCCAGAATAGATTTATGCTTGTTTGTTCGTTGGAAAGATGACGCAAAAACAAATCAACTGATTTCAATGACAATTGGAGGAGGGGTGGGGAAGATCAAGGAATTCGTTTTCACTTTCTTTAACATTGTGAGATATTGACACCATTTTTCCATATAGTAAAAAAGAATGTTGATGAAAAAAAAATCAGGCATATTCAGGGTTTGGGTTAGCTTGATTGAATGTAAGGAGAGTATCTTGACAGAATGAAAAAGAAAAATTTCCAAAAAGAAAAAGGGATTAAAACTTCACCATGTAGCACAAAAAACTTAGAAAATTGACCTGAGTATGGTTAACATGACACTGTGGAAATCTGCATCCCTGTGTTAGTTTTCAGTGGAGTGGACCTTTCACTTCTCCTCTCACCTGAGCGGGTTCTTGATGGCGATGTAACGGTCCACAGCGATGGCCAGAAGGCTGAAGATGGAGCTCTGGGTGAGCACGAGCACGAAGCAGGCGATGAACAAGCAGCCATAGAAGTTTGCACAGAAGCCGATACTGCAAGAAAATATCACAGGTTCAGAAATATGGTATTAAAATCTAGTGAAGCTGTTTTTCTTGAATTATTGGCCCAAATCAGTCCCAGAGCTTTAGTGTGAAATATTATGCTTTTATTTAGGATTACATTGAGTTTTAAAAAGGTTAAGAGGTGTAAAAATGAAATGATACCTGATGGTGATGGCGAAAGGAATTGCCAGCAGCCCTACAGCGATATCAGCCACAGCCAGGGACACCAAAAAGAAGTTGGTGATGCTCTGCAGGTTGGAGTTGAGGCAGACGGCCCAGCACACCAGGATGTTTCCAGCCACAGCCAGGCAGGCGATCGCCAGCTCCAGGACAATATAGACCAGCTGGTCAGTCCTCAGCATGGTGATGTCTTCGTCTGCTTTCTTTGCACTGTCATCCCACTCACTCAGCTGCCCGACGTGTTTTGAGAGAAAATAACTGCTTGCCAAACCCGTTAAGTGAGGTGTGTGTCACTGGGGGACTGCCATGACAGGAAGTTCCCACCACACACATCCCGCCTATGAGGCCTGACTTCACACACGCACGAGCGTCTGTCAGCCTTCCTCAAACCGCTTGGTTAACTCTGTCACAGATGGCGGCAAAACATCGAGGACAGAGCGTCTGGGAGTTTTGTCACACAGCTACCAAATTAAGAGCCTGTAGAGAAACGAGAGGAAGAGGGAGAACACAATCTCAGTGGTGGAGCCTGAACAAACAGATTGCAGGTCACCACACACCAGGTCAGAAAAGCCATCTATCTCTGGTAGACAGCAGGGGACAATTTATTCTCCACACAGGGCCAAAGCAGACAATCCAACAATGCACCTTTTATTCCAGTTTCCCGAAAGCCTTCCACACACTTATCATTCCCACCACTGACATCATATTCTTCCGAAAAATCACTGATAAATACACAAAATGAGGGTCCTCAGAATTTGAGCAGCCATTGCACCATAACAGGAAAACTGTAAAACTATCCCTGCTGCATTTTCTCAGGGTATTTAGCTGAATTCCTCTGTAGTGTAAGCAGATTAGAGTGTGTTATCACAAACAGGGGCTCAACCTCAGAGAGCCTTCGCAGAGGTGAAGAGTTTGAACAAAATGTAGGTCAAGTTGTCCAGTTCATATGTGCACAACAGCTGAAGGGAGACAGATGTGTTATCATCATT